TATAAAGGAGGACTTTGCATCACTCAGAGTTGTCCAACACTGAAATAGGTTATTAAAAAAGAACACAACTGCATTTATTTATACCATTTAGGGCAGTCACATACTTCCTTTAATTTGGGCTTATAAGCCTTATTTTAGCCATGTTATCGGAGCTTGGTTGGCATAAACCTATGCGGGAGTGACCAAGAGTTAACTTTCTCCAGTTACGTCCAGGACCACTGCAAAGAATCTCTTTGGGAGCAGTGAGCTCCCTGTATCTGGAAGGGCCCAGCTAAGGCTGAGCCACTGAAGAATATACTGTGGAGCAGATTCCTGTTCTGGCTGGAATAAGGTCTCTTTCAACTCAGATTCTCTGCAGGTCAGCCTCAGACCCAGAGAAGAGCCTCTGGGGGGCTGAAGAGCAGGAATTTTAAACCTGGGCCAGCGACCCCCTGGAATTTTCACATGGAAATGCATTTATTCTGGTCTGGGGATCTCTGGCTTTGAACAAACACTCAAGAGTTGAGAAGCATCAACATAGATCATTCTTTCATCCAGCCTTATCCACAAGGGGATCTGGTTAGATGGTTTGCTGACATCAGTGGTTCTCAAACTTTAGCTGGCACCAGAATCATCTCAGGGAGAAGGGGAGCTTGTTAAAACACAAGATTGCTGCGACCCACACACAGTGGTTCTGATTCGGTAGGTTTGAGGTGGGGGGTGAGACTCAAATTTCTAATGCAGAGTTTCCTGCTGCAGGTCTGAGGACCACACTTCGAGAACCGCTGGTTTATATCAAGACACTTTGCTGATCAAAAAGGCAGTATGGATTGGGTTGCCCTAAAGCTCCTACTGGCTCCTGCCCCCTAGATGCTAACTCCCACCCACCCATCAGACCCTTGCAACTCAATCCTTCCCCTGCCCTCCTAGCCCCTGCAACAAATCCTAAATCAGCTGCTCTGAGGTCTAAAAATACCTTCCTTCCCCCAGGACAGCTGAGGGGCTCAGGCTATTTTCTGAGGGTAAGAATAGCTGGCACTTTAGAATTCATTTCAATAAGAGGGCCATCAGCCAGTATAGAAATACTTGGCTGCTCTAACTTCAATGCTTACAGCAGCTTTAGCTCTCAATGTATTAAAGCTCCATAATTCACGAAAGGGCACTGGTTAGGTATGTGTCTGTCTGGGGTGGTAAGTAACTTACCTTTTTTGGTATTGTTCTAGAGTGGATACTGGTTAAAATTACCCCAGGAAGCTTCGGCCTGGCTCCAGACACATGGAAAATAGATTTCTTGTGCCAGCCCAAGCTGATGCCTTCGGCAGCGGCGTCTCCTCCCTGGGGGGTTGCTTGTCTCTGAGACCCCCACAACCTGCTCTTCAGGCCTTAAGACTTGGGTGACACATGAGGGACCCATGGCGTCCAAGGCTTTTTTGTGGGGTGAGGGTATGGGAAGGTTCAAGCGGCAGGAGGGTTGCTCTCGTCCTGGGAGGAGACCCCAGGTGCCCTGGGGCATAGGGGTTGGGTGGGGAGACCCCTCGCCTGGTGGGACTCCTAGCAGGGCATCAGCCACACAGAGATCTTCAATAAAAGCCAGTCAGTTTATTAGTTTTATATGGATATTGGCTTTTCCTCTTTCCAGGTTTCAGTTTTCTCATCTGTGAAACGAGCAGATGGGATTTAGGGCCCTTCAGGGTCTCCTGCAGTTTTATCATTCTGTGACTCAGGAGCTTGCTCCGGTGAGCCTGGGCTGGCAGCTGGCCCTTCCCACTCAGTCCCCTGGTTTAAAGGCAGCAGCAGGGGGCTCAGGACCTTTGGAGAACCGGGTCTGCACTGTGCCCCTAACCTCCTTTGGTCTGAGTTGAAATGTTTCCTGCTTTCCACTCTGGTGAGAATTCCCCACTCCTTAAGAATAGGGAGGCCTCGCCTGCCAACTTCAGTGCTGCATCCCCAGCAGCTAGCACAGTGCCACATGCAAAATAGGGGTGCAGGGCTTGATGAACGAATGCATGTCATGCAAGGGGGCCTCATAAGGAGCCCAAGATCTGTCCCTAGCTCCCTCTGTTGCTCCTTCAAAGGTAGGTTAGGAGCAAGGTATCCTCCCTCCCCGCCATTCCTCACCCACCCCCAACTCTACCCCCCACAGCCCTCCTCCCCCTAAAGAGCTGAAATCTTGAGTCACCTGCTCTAGGGGTGAGGTTCCTTTGAGTTCTAAACGTGCACTGTGCTGCCTCCAGGACTAATGAGAATGTGTGGCCTCTTTCCTGTTTTGTTTGGCAGATTATAGGGCTCTCTCGTTGCAAATGCCCTCTCTTCTCCCAGAGGGCTGTGGGTCCTTGGGGGCTTCTGGTGGGCCTGGGGGCAAAGACTTCCTGCTAAACCTCATGCTCCCTTCCTCCGCCTTCAGGAATCTCTGCCGTTTCCTTGTAGGTGGGAAGGTAGCAAGATCCAGCTCTCACGTTTGGGCTTGGGGAAGTGGGCAGCATGGGCATTTTGGCCCAGTTTGGTTCTGAGCTGTTCAGGCCTGCCTACCCAGAGAAAGGAAGTTTCTGAAGAAGCAGCCAGCTCCACTGCAGTCAGGCTGGGGCACGGAGCCAGAATGCCAGCTTTGGGGACCAGATGTAACTGCCCTGGTTTGCCTCTTCTGTGCATATCCTTAGGTATGCAAGAGAGGGGTGGTTTTCAGGGACAAGTTTGGTATTGGTCTTGGTCCTCTGGCCCAATACCTATGATCATCAGTTATACCATGATAGCCCTGGCATCTTTATTTTAAATACAAACCATGAAAAGATGCCGTTACACATTGATTTCACTGGACTGGAGAGGAGGGGGAGAGCACAGCCCCATCCTACCTATGGTTGACTTTGTGCTTCTCTCCAACACCCTTTATATCCCTCTGACCTTGTAGTTTGGATGAGACCACCTCTGCTCCAGGGATGGGGCCTGACTCTTCTAAGCCAGTAAGCTTAATCTCATCCGTGGGTCCATAGCTGAGTCCTAAACCAATCAGCATGTGGCATTCACTTGGCCACAGGGATTGGTTCAGCAGGGGCCCAACTGGCCCAGAGCCTAGACTTTGGTTTAGGGGCCGTGGGAGAAGACCCTCTCATCCTGGGAGCTGTTGGCAGCCATCCTTGACCATGAGAGAAGCAATGGCGCCGGCATTGCACAGTGCCCTGAGCCTGGACTGTTATGATAACCAAAAAAACCCTTTTATTGCTTAAGTCACTCTGAGTTTGTTTTTCTACTGTCAACAAAAAGCATTCGTATCAATGTGTCAACTTCATAATTCCTGTAATAATTAAGGGCATGCTTCTTGCATTTTAATTTTTAAAAATATGCTTTTATTGATTTTGGAGAGAGGAAGGGAGAGGGAGAGATAGAAACATCAATGATGAGAGTCACTGATTGGCTGCCTCCTGCCCACCCCTTACTGAGGATTGAGCCCACAACCTGGGCATGTGCCTTGCCTGGGAATTGAACTGTGACCTCCTGGTTCACGGGTTGACGCTCAACCAGAGCCACAGCAGCCGGGCTGTTTCTCGCACTTTAAAGACACCATCTCTTTTATGAACACTACCATTGCCTCAGCATGGTAAAATTTTCAGTCAATTTGGCCCTCTGCCTACCTACAGGGCATTTTGCCTCATGCTGAGCTCAATTAATGTTAAGGAGAAGCTCCAGGTTTAAGGTCTGTTCTATGAACTTGCCAAGAGACCTTGGGCAAGTTATTTCCTCCTTTTGTGCTTTTATCTCCATTTTATCAAAAAAATGTTAGCTGGATGACCTCTGGGGTTGTTCGTTAGGAAAGCCACAATATCAGTGTCATTTGGCAGTGTTGTATCCTCCTGGGCCCAACCCCAGAGCCAGATTTAGCAGGTCTGGGTGGGACTTGGGCATCCAAATTAGGTTAACCTCTGAACTCCACCCCAGCACCTTCTCTTTCTTTACTCTGCTGGAATCAATGTTTGGGGATCAGGTATAACTGCCCTCCACCACCTAGGGTCTTGTCTTCTTGCAAGACAGATCATTGTTATACTCTTCAATCCCTGCATAATGGGCAGAATGGTCAATTCCTCCAGGTGCCAAGGAAGTTTTCCTCTTCCTATGGCCAGTATGTTTCCCATTTTCCATTGGTTGCCAGGAAGCTCAGAGCTATACTGACAGCCCTACTGGGGTAACTATCTCTTCCTTGGGTCCTATCATAGTCATCTCCCTCAACATGTGGTGTCACTGAGAGGCTTAGATAGTGTCTAATAAGTTCTTAACTAGGTACCTCACATCCAACAAGCCCTCTGCTTTCTGATTTTCCCTTCTACTTTATTTGTAACCACCTGGTTACATGTGGGAGTAGGCAGTGCTAAACAATAAACTGGACTCAGAGTTCTCTGTCTTATATTCCTTCCCATCATCATTCCTGTCTCCTATTAGAAAACCAAGTCCGAAGCAGCTGGAGAAGATGGATTTTTATTTCTTCTTTTAAAAAAATAAATAAAATGAACACACTAGTTTGAATTTCCCTCCCTTCTCTTACTCTCTCCCTTAAAAAGGAACAACCACTCTGAGAATCCTTAAGATAGAGGCAGAGAGCAGGCCACCTGGGCCCACACTAGAGAGATGACACTTGATCGACACAGGAGGGTCAGGAGGAGGCAGGGTGGGTGGGCGCAGCTTGCGCAGCTTGGCCACTGTGGGGGTGATCCATCTTCAGCACGGATGGACATTCCCAGGCTCACCCTGGAGCCCTCACAGTTCGGTCTTCACCTTGTGCATCAAGTCCTTTTGGTCAATTTTGTCTAGGTCCTGGTACCAGCGGTTGTAAGCCAGCAGGGCCACGTTCTTGGCAGCTACAGCCATGACCTCCACGGAGCTGGCCGCCCACTCCAGGGCATTGAGGTGGAAGAGCTGGTCGTGGAGTGCGAAGCGAGGGAGGGAGGTGCGGGAGCCATGGACGGGGTGGGCCTGCCACTCGGCTGTCTGCACTGAATAATAGGAGCGGAAGAGGGTCTTTAGCTGGGACCGGAGGAGGGGCTTGGGGGACTGGACTCGCCAAACGGCTGCCTCCTGAGGCTGCTTCCGCCGGAAGTTGGTTGAGATGTTCACCGGGCAGATATTGTCTAGGGCACAGAAGAAGGTAGGGAAGTCTGTGGTAAGGATACTGGCGAATGGGAAAAGCTTAGGGTCAGGGAACCCGAAGTAGGAGGAATTGAGGTAGCCGTGGACCAAGGAGACAACGGTGGGCTGGAAAGAGTCCTGGATGACATCAATGGGCGGGTCGAAGCCTTCAAAGGTGATGGTGCTGCTGTTGTCCAGGTGCAGGGGGGTGGCAATGACCACTATGTCGTAGAAGTCAAAGCCAGTGCCCACCTCGTTCTCATATTCTACCTGGTACAAGGGTTTCCCTTCTGGAAGGAGAGAAAAGAGAACACAAAAGTCAACTTACTTCTTGGCTTTTACCCACTGATCTCCCATGTGGGGCCCAGCATGGAGGGTCTGAGACCCTGGGTGAGCTGGGCGGTCCTGATGGTGAGCATTGTCTTTCCATGCTGGTGTGGCTGCAGGGTGAGCACTGGACTGGGGGTTAGGAGACTCAAGCTCTGGCTCTGCTTCTGCTGCTGACTGTGGCTCAAAATCCTTGGTATTCAAATGAGTAGAGCTAGATTAATGCAAATCTGTTTTCTGGCTCTGATATTGGAATTGGGACAACAGTGCCCTCTGGTGTCACTTGGCAATGCTGGAATTTCCCTTTGGTTTTTTGGAATCCTCCCAGGCCGACAGAACTGGAATTTCGGGAAAGAAGAGGTGTAAGTATTCACTGTCTAGGAATGGAGTGGCCATGTCCCCTGCTCTGTCCACTCACCTGTATGTTGCAGGGTCACAGAGGTCACTGTGGCATGGATCACATTGGCCTTGGTGAGCTTCAGCAGACCAGAACAAACGAGCTTGTTGCCTCCCTCCACAGACCACAGGATGCCTTGGGCCCCCGCTAGCGCCATGGCTCCTGGGCAAAGGGGAAAGATGGTTGGTGGGTTCTCAGAATCACTAAGCAGTAAATAGGGCTAAAGAATTCACCACCATCCTACCTGGGCCTCCCTCCCAGGCCAAGACTCCTCCCAACCATGGGCATGGAGACAACACACACACAAATAAATACAACAAATTTACAATGTTATGACATGACAACATTATGTTCAATGCAAGAGCCAGCTACAAAAGAACATGGGTTGTATGATTCTATTTATACTGACTATCCAGAACGGGCAAATCCATAGAAACACTGAGCAAATTCGGTGTTGGAGGACTGGAGAGCTAGGGGTACTGGGGAGGTGATGGCTAAAGCTAAAGGTAAGAGGTTTCTTTTGGGGTCAATGAAAATGTTCTGAATTGTGGTGATGGATGCACAACTGTGAATATACTCAAAACCACTCAATTGTAAATTGTGTGGTGTGCGAATTATATCTCCAAGTATACACATAAAACACTAAAGAGGGAACAGGGAAGCCCCATGAGAGGACACTTAGCAGGATCTGAAGGCTGGGAAGGAGCTAGCCATTCCAAGAGCCAGAGGAATAGTATCCTGGACACATGGGAGGTGCTTGTTAATTACATACCTTTTCATTCATTTATTCACCAAAAATGGGCTGAGTGCCTACAATGGTCCAGGCACTGTACTAAGTGTTAGGGTTACATCAGTAAACAAGGGAGACAGATTCCTGCCCTCGGGAAGCATAAATTCTAGTGGGAGATAAAATAAGTAAATTTAATAGTCTGCTAGAAGATGATACCTGCAAGGTAGGGTGACTGGGACTGCTGGGGCAAGAGGCGGGGTAAAACTAGGAGGTAGGGTAGCTTTAATGAAAGAGTACCATCTGCACAAAGACATGATGGGGAGAGAGTTACCATGATTTCGTCTCAGGAAAGAATGTTCTAACAGAGGGATGGCCACACAAAAACCCTAAGGTGGGGAGCACACCTGGAACACTGGAGACACAGAGAGGAGGCCAGAGTGGCTGGACTGGGGTGAATGCGGGGAGGTGGTGGGGCCTAGACCATGTAGGGCCTTGCAGGCCACTGGAAAGACTTTGAGTTTCACTTGAAGGAAACTGAGAGCCCTTACTGAGTTTCACAGGCAGACCCTACATGATGTCTTTTGTCTTTTGTTTTAAAAGGATCATCCAGCAGATGTGTTGAGAATAGCCTGTGGGGATAGGGGAGGTGCAAGAGAATCTGGTGGCAGACTTGCAATAATCCAGGTGAGGGATGCTAATGGTTTAGACCAGGGAGGAAGCAGTGGTAGGAAACTGTTGGATTCTGGATATATATGGAAGTAAAGCAGATGAGATTTTTTGACATACCATGTGAAGAATATGAGAGGAAGAAATGAGACAAGGTTTTGGCTAGAGCAACTGAAAGGAGTTAGTTCCAACCAAGTTGAGAGGGGCAGGCTCTTGGAGAAAAGGTCAGTAGCTCAGCTTTGGATGTGCTGAGTCTGAGATGCCCATTAAATCTCCCAGTGGAGACACAGGGGTGGCAGGTGACACATGAGACTGCAGTTCTGGAGAGAGGTGTGGGCTGGAGATCATGTTTAGGGGGCAGGTGGGTGGAACTTAATGCCTTGTGATTGCTGAGCTCGCCAAGGGAGCATGAGAAAAGCACCAAGGACTGAGCCTGGGTCCTTCCATATGATGAGGCTGGGAGGAGCCAGAGAGTGCTGGTGCCATTTCTTGCCCTTAAATGCCCCAGGCCCCCATCGTCCCATTGCCCCAGCAAAATCCTATTATATCTTCCATGGCCCATAATGGTGGCCATGTCCTGGGGAAGACATGCCCCAAAGGGTCCCCCAGGCAGATTTAATGACCTGTGCTGGAGGAGAGTGGGTTATGCACATGCTTACTGCCCATCATGAGCTGGGAAGATTAGGTGGGCTAATAGATGAATACCTAGGGCCCAGGCTCCCCGCCCCCAGTAGTTCCTGAAACTAACCTAGTGGGGAGTAGTAGAAACACACCAGACCTGAGATCTGAGCCTTGCTTTTACCATCTGTGAAGTGGGGTAAATACCATTTCCTGCCAGCTCAGACTACCGATGACAGAATCAAATGGAGTCGGGGCAACCGAGTGCTCAGGCAATTTTACTGAGCCAGGTAGGTGTGCGATTATTATGGGGAGCCCAGCTCATGCTGGGCACTGTGGGCCAGGGAAGGGCAGGTGGGCAGGCCGAGGGCCTCAGGCTCACCAGCAAAGGCGGGCATCGCTGCTGACTGGCCGTAGCTGGCCCGAAGGACGGCAGAGACGATGTCATCGATAAAGCGCTGTGTGACGCCCACCTGGAGCAGGGACTCAGCCACAGAGCGTTGGGTCATGTTGATGAAGCTGGATTCCCCCAATGAGTAGAGCAGCTCCTCCACACCCGAGAAGGCATAACCATGGGCCTGGTACTTATAGATCCTGGGAGACACGCAGAGCCGGAGCCCTTATACAGAAAGGCCTTTGGGCTGACCACCCACTATTGGATCACTGCATCTGTGAGGGCCAGCAGGGACCCACCTTCCTTTCCACGTGGAGATCAAGAGAGAGGAGGCTAGTTACATCCCCCTTGGTCTGTTCACTGGCTGTGGTGGCCTGTCCCACCTAGAGGGACAGTGCAGAGGGAAGGGCAAATACCCCGGAATCCCACCAGACCTGGCTTCACATGGTGGCTCTGCTGAATGACAGTTGCAAAGTTCTCTGAGGGCACAGTCCTCTTCTCACCCAGCTGGGACTGCCAGGCAGAAGGCCACAAGCCTACTGACGTATCCCCCTCTCTAGCAACTTTGGCTTTGCCCTGGCTTCTAGGACCACATCAGGCGTGATGGCAGTTGTCTCATGCCAATGTTGTCACCCTCTCTGCTAGCCCAGCCCGTTCTCTCTGCTAGCTTGATCTAACAGGACTCTCACCCACTCCCAGAGCTCATGTCTTGTCCCTCCCTCCACAGCTCCCCTAATCGCCAGTAGCATGTGCTGATGGATTTCCAGATGGGCTAGCCTTTGAAATGCTGCCTCTGCTTGGGTTGCTGTGTAAACATGTTGAGTTTGGTTAGCAACGGGACACCCAGAAGGTGTGCAAGAAGCAGTTAGAAATGTGGGTCTGGAACCTAAGGGGCAACAGGCTGACAGGGATGTCTTCCACAAAAGGGCGAATGTGGCATTGTATGTTTGGATACAACTGACAGGGAGAAAAACAAGAAAGGACAGTAAGAACAACCTTTGGGGGATACCTGGAGAATATAAGGAGGAAGTGCCATAAAAAGTATAGTTATGAAAGTGGCAGAGGGAAGCAGTGCCAGAGACCAGGAAGGAGGCCTGGAGGCCATGCCTGAGGGCTGGGCATTGGCACCTCTGCACCTGGGCCAGGAAGTGGGGAGAACCTGCACGAGGGACTTGCAAGGAGAGCTGGAGCACAAGCTTGGCAAGTGAGTGGACAGAGGGACTACAGGCCACTCGTCCTTGTTATCTGGAAGTGATGGGGAGGGGCCGGGACCTAAGGAGGAGAGAAGGGTGTAGAAAGGTGTTTGTTCTTGATGGGAAAACTGGGGGACAGAGTTCGTAAGCGTTAGCCCACAGGCTACACATGGCCTATAGATGTCTTTCATTGGGCTAATAAGATGAATTGGCTGCGTACATTGAAAGCCGGAAGATTCCACATGTAACTCTAGATTTTTAGCTTTGTCTGAAAAAACTGGAAGATCTGGCCACATGAGGCTGGCATTCCCACACGGCCACAGTTGGTTCTAGCGCAGTGCTGGCTGCCCCCTTCTGAAGGCCTTGCTTGTCAGGTGGCCCACTCCCTACCTTCCTTTTCACGCTGCTGTACATCCCAGGTAAGCCCTTTTAGGTGCCTGAGTTTATGACTCGTGCTTAGCTGAGTGGCGTCAAAGAGAATGCTACTGTGACAATACCAGAGACCCCGCCTGTACCAACTTAGTACATTGCTCACACTGGGGGCCTGGATGAATGCTGCTGTGTTCTCACACCCAGCAAGTACCTTTTCCTTTTTGACTATGTACAGTCAGCCAGTGCCTCGCCCACCTCTTTTCCCCTCTCCCTCCGGAAGCCCCACAGCTCTACCCAGCCCTACCTCATGAATTTCTCCATGACCTCCTCCACCCACATCTGCAGTCGCAGGAAGCTGATGCCGTAGTGCCACCAGAGGCGGAAGAGGTTCAGCAGGTACCAGTCCGTCTCCTCTAGCACAAAGTTCTCCCCACCGAAGATGGCACTCCTGCCCACCACCTCTCGCCGGTGCTTCAGCCCTGAGGAGACAAGGAGCCCTGAAGCTGAAATTCTGGACCTTCCTGAAGGGTGCAAATGGGCTGGCTCCACTAAAGGGAATATGAACGCTATGTTGTGTCCATTTGTGCTGCTTGTTTAAAATGCACTGGGGGAATGTTGGGCTGGCTAGTCAACAAAGAGATGAACATTAAATAATGTACCATTTTATTTTTTTTCAAAAGGGATCCACTCAGCCAAGGGTGAAATTCAGATGTCATCCCGGAATGTCAGAGGTGGACAGCTCTGGGATGGCAGCCCTGGGCACCAAGACCACTCAGGAAGAATCTCAGCTCCTTGTAAGCATATCCACACTCTACAGCTTACAGAGCACAGGGACTTGTGTATCTCACTCCCTCCTCTCATGGCCTGGGGAGAGGCAGGACAGGTGTCAAAGATGTGAAAACTGAGGTTTAGAGGTTATAGGACCTTCCCCAAGTCACAGTTTTTTTCCCTTCCCATCTCATTCCTATCCCTGAGTCACTAGTAAGTACCTTCCTTCAGCATCCTTCCAGAGATATTTTGTGCAAATATTCATAAATGTGTATATCTCTGAGTTAGTCCCCTCTACATACTATATAGACTGTCCTGCACCTTACTGACATGCCATGTCTTGGAGATCATTGTTCTATACCTGGACATAAAGGATGTCCTCATCTGGCTGACTAGTCTGTGTACTTAAAACAATAATTTATTTAGTCTCAGTCCCAGTGGGTGGGCAGGTAGGAGAGTTTCAACCTTTTGCTATTATAAACAATGCTGTGATGAGTAACCTTGTGTGTCTTCATCTTTGCGCATCTGTAAGTATCACTTCTGAGAAGTGGAAATTTCTGCGTCCAACAGTATACGTATTTGTGGTTTTGATAGATGCTGCTAAGGTTCAATTCCAGCTCTCTCTTATTAGCTTCATGGCCTTAGCCAAGGTGTATACATTTTCTGAGCCTCAATTTCCTCAGGAGGAGATATCCCCATCTTGCAGGCTGGTAGGGAGGATTAGAAGTAATGTCTACATGCTACCTACAAGGATGCCAGGTACCTGGCAAGCACACAGCACGTGCAAGCCATTTCGATTATGATTATTAAGAGGCAGCAAATTGAAAGGGAAAGAAACTGGCCTGGGAGTCAAACCTGAGTTGTAATCCGGGCTCTTGCAACTAACTCACTGTGTAACCTCAGGCAAGTTCCTTCCCCTCTCTGGTCTCAGCTGCTCCATCTGTAAAATGAGATTGGGCTACATGATCTTCTGGCCTTGACCATCAGGGGTGGGCAATCTGGGAAGGACCTGATGGCTACTGCCAGCCTTGAGGGCTGGAAATGGAGCCCCAGGACGGTGTACTCACCCAGGTGCTTGACGAAGTCCTGCATGTGTAGGCTCAGGGAGTGGAAAGAGGCGGCCCCGCTCTCATAGTGCTGTTTGTTGACTGAGATGGTGGCCAAGCGGCCACCCACTGTCGCCTTCTCAAACACATCGATCTGCACGTGGGGGCCAAAATGCTGCTGAAGGAAATGGGTCACGGCAGATCCTCCAATTCCAGCCCCAACTACAGCTGCCAGCAGGCCCAGGAGGCAGGCAAGGAGACAGAGTATGAGCATGAGACTGCAGGACACACTTTCATGGCCTCCTGGACTACTGATTCCCAGGCACTTGCAGAGGCTCATAACATCTCAAAAAGGCAATCTGCAGACTAGTTTTTAGTAAAGCAATCACTAAAGAGCAAAGGACAATTTGAAAACTGCCATCTACTGTAACCCTCATTTTGTATAAAAAAACACTAAAAAATACATATTAGTATACATATTAGTAGCAAAAAAGCAGGAACCAAAAAAATTCAGGATCATTTAAAGAGAATAAATTTAGTTTGATACAAAACTCATTACATTGTCCCTATTTTTATTTCACTATGAAAACCTGGCCACTGACAGGTACTGTTAGGTAGATGAGTGTTTGGGAGGGTTGGCAAAATACAGCTCGTAGGCCAAATCTATGCAGATGCCTGTTTTTGCAAACAAAGTTTTATTGGAACACAGCCAAACCTGTTCTTTAGCTTATTGTCTCTGGCTGCTTGCCTGTGAGGCAGAGCTGAGTAGTTGCAACAGAGATTATATGGCCTGCAAAGTCTAAAATATTTACTCTCCGACACTTTGCTGAAGAAGTCAGCCAACCCTCGGTCCAGTCCAACCTATTACCTGATATTGAAATCATTTCTGTATCTGTCCTTGCCAAGACTGGAACGCACCTTGTGACGGGATGCTCATTATCACACAGGGCACTTTATTCCCTATGTAACTCTTGTTACAAAGTTTCTGCTCTTTGAGGTCTGTTTTGAGTCTTATCATCCCTTGTCTTCCCTACACCTCTTGCCTTCCTGTTATTTGTAAACTTTGTTCATATGCCATCAGTATTCTTATCCAAGTCACTGATAAAAAACATTTTACTTCACTGGGCTGTGAGGTGCTAGTGGGAGCCACTGCTCAGATAGATACTAATCTAGATACTAAAACTAAATAGGACTGTAAGAGAACAGTAAAGCAACTATGAAGCTACTGAACTGGCCTAACACCCCACACACCATCTTTGCCCACCATGTATCTGATCCTCTCATCTGACAGTCTAGTCACCCTACCCCAAAAGAAAAAGATAAATCTGGTGTGATTTGTCCTTCCTAGACCTATGTTAGACCCTAAGACCACCAGCTCCTGTCAGGAAAGCAAAAATACAAGGTTCTTTATCATCTGGCCTCTACGTATTCCATTCCCTGACCCACCCTCGCAATACTCCACCTTCTTATCTGTCTTGACTTCTTTTGCTGTGGAACATGACTTTGCTCTCTCATGCCTGTGCCTCTGCATTGCTCCCTTTACCAGGAATGCACCGTCATCCTCTGCCTCACTGTCTTCTATGGCTCTCATGTAACTGCGTGGCTTGCCTGACCCACCTAAGATGAATCAGGGGTCCCTCCAGCACATTTCCGCATCACACTTTCTTTACCCTTGGCCTGGTCCTTGGCCCTTTCTTCTCAAATGGGCTGTTTAAGGACTAAGAACAGGTCAGTATGGCCCCAGATCCTGGCAGGCAGTAGAGTTCATTAAGTATTGTTGTACCTTGGAAAAAAACCACTTCCTCCTTCTTAGTGTTTACAAAGCCACTTCCAAGAATACCATTAACCTTTTTAAACCAGTGTGCTCCCCTCCCCTCCATTTGCAACAAGAGCCCCAAACTGCCCATTTTCCCAAAGAAACCAGTTATCACAAGACCTGGGAGCTGCCCAGGGATCACAGAGAAGCAGACCTCGCTCACTCAACACCCATGAACTGATACCTACTCTCTGGTCTGTGGTAAGATGTGCTGGGGCTCACAATGAATCCAACAGGGCCTCTGTCCTCCTGAGCCCAGGCAGGGAGTGGGCAGAAAGACTTATGCACAATCAGCTATGACAATGTGTGACTAAGTGTGACAGGGAATCCTGTCCTCCTCCCTGAGGAGGAAGCAATGAGTTCTGCCTGAGGGTGGGAGACAGATTTCACTGGGGAAGGAATGTTTGGGTGGGACCCTGGGGGACAATGGGCTTTGCCTGTGAGCAGAAACACATCCTCGACAGAGAGAAGAGCGTGAGGAACTATGGGGGACTTAAAGGGTCCAATGCCACAACAAGGTGTTCAGATTTGATCCTGCAGCAGNAGGGAATCCTGAGGAGGAAGCAATGAGTTCTGCCTGAGGGTGGGAGACAGATTTCACTGGGGAAGGAATGTTTGGGTGGGACCCTGGGGGACAATGGGCTTTGCCTGTGAGCAGAAACACATCCTCGACAGAGAGAAGAGCGTGAGGAACTATGGGGGACTTAAAGGGTCCAATGCCACAACAAGGTGTTCAGATTTGATCCTGCAGCAGTCTAAGAGTTAAGCCATGCTAACAGGAAGCTCCTCATTCTCATTGTGGGTAGAGTCCAAACCATCAAGGGTGGACAGAGGCTCCTGTCAGAGAGCTGACGACAATCAGGAAACTACAGGGCAGCTTGGCACTGCCAAATATCCTGCTCCAGATGACCCCTGGAGTGAGGTAGGCAGGGCCAGCTGGAATGAGGCAGGCAGCAAGCTTTGTGTTACCAGAAACAGTGTTGCCGGGAGGAAGCCCTAAGCCTTCCCCAGTGGTCAGTGGGAGTGTCCCGCTCTGTTGTCCATTCCCAAGAGATGAACAGTGCCCAGTACTTCCAGATACTGCCTGCCTAACTCTTCCCCATCCTTCAACGCCTGGCTTAAAATCCGCCTTCTCCACGAGGTCTTGTTTGACCACTCTGGCCCTCAAATTCTCTTTCTTTTGAAAATCCTAAACTCTCAGTCCCAAACTGATTTCTGGCATGCTTCAGTCTATTTTAACCCCTTGTGGCCTGAGCTGTGGATTTGTAACCCAAGAAGACTTAGCACTTCGTGACCCTAATAAATTTGTGGTGCTCCCATGGGACATCCCTCCTTGCCAAGTGGGCACACAGAAGGAAGAGGAGTGGAGTAGGGACTCCTACTCCCCCACACCAGAAGCCCAGCACCTCTGCCTACCTATGGAAATTTTATATATGAAGGATGTGACAATCTTTGAGTCATGTTGAGTTAAAATGACAACTGTTAAGAGGAAAAAAAATGTAAACAAATATGGAATGCTAGTCAATGATATGCACGATAAAGTACTTAGCAAAGTGTCCTGATGTCTGCAAGTTATTTTGAATCCATTAAAATGTAAGATGGATTAATGGATGTATGATAGGTATGTGATAAGGCAAGTACAGCAGCAGTCTGTTAATAGCAGGAACCAGGTGGTGGGTATACAGATGATCACTACAAAAGTCTTTCAACTTTGGTGGATGTTTGGAATTTTTCAAAATAAAATATTGGGCGAAAAACAGCCTCCAAAACCCCACAAAAACGCACACCCACAAATAAAATGATTGATGTTAAAAAGATCCCCACTCTGTCACTCAGCAAATCTATCTCCGGCAGACCTACCATGGGTTCTGTCTCCACTATGCCTGTCTCCTACTCTCCTGAGGTTGTGGTTTAGAGGTTACTTCCAGAAAGCCCTCCAGGACCCTCCCAGAGCCATCAGAGGCTGGGGTGAAGTGCCTTTCCTCTTTATCAGGGTACTTACAGCCTTAGCACTACCTTCCCCGTTTTGTGCAGTCTTCTCCTTCAGGAACCAGGAGTACCACGCCTGCTACCCAGGCCTTCAGTAAACCTTTGTGAATGACTGTCTCCCAGACCCTGACCTCTCTGTCATCGGGCATCTGGCAAAGAGCCAGGTCCATGGCAGATGCTCAGTTTCTGAACCTTTCGGTGAGATCACTAGCCAGTCCTGCCCCAAGCCTCTTTTCCGCCCCGGATACCCTCGAAACATGCCCATGCCACCCTCCGCAACAGCACCTTGACTACTGTAGTCCCCTTCCTCGCTCAGTCGCACTCTTGCCTCTTCCCCACTCAGCTCCTCTCCCGAGCACCCCTCGGTCGCCCAGCTGCCTCCCCCATCCCCCACCCAGCTGCTGCCGGCAGACGACCCTTTTCCCGCGCACCCTCCCCGGCTCAGCACCCCATCGCGTCCTTCCCGCACCGATTTTACTGGGCCGGGCGTCTCCGCCTGTAGTGGCGGCGGCGAGGAACGCGGCCAGCGCGGCGAGGA